CCCCCCCCTTTGCTGTTCCCTCCTGGCCTTGTCTCTCTCCCTTCCCGTGGGCCTGACCCTGGCTTCTCACCACCTTCCCATCCTCTCTCTTGCTTTCCTGTCTCTCCCCTGCCCTCCTCCCTCGCTTTTTCCTCCTGGTCCTTCCCACCCACTTCTCCCCCACTTCCTCCTCTCTTTTGCTCCTTCTTTAAAGCAAACACACACACAAAGAATAAAAAAGTGAGGTGTAAAACGACCTTCAGCCTGTCTGGGTGTTCCCATTCCTTCCTGCATTCTTAAGGAAATGGATATTATTAGGATCCATCCATGGCTGTCTGTTTAGGCACACTTAGTTTACTTTTAGTATTTTCTGTTTTCCTAGGTAATTTAGCACACAGGAAGAACAGTTTTTCATGGCAGTGTACTACTCCTTCACACAATTTATGGATGGTTATTTAATTACTCTTCTTTTGTCATTTAGGCAGTACACAGTTGTATCAGCATTTTAAATGACAAGATGATGAATATAATTGCACTTCTGATTATTTTCTTAGTATATATATTTTTTTTGAGTTGTAGTGTCACTTCGTGGCCCAGGCTGGAGTTCAGTGGCACGCTCGCGGATACCACAGCCTCAACCTGCTGGGCTCAGGTGATCCTTCTACCTCAGCCTTCCATGTAGTTGGAACCACAGGCATGCACCACCACGCCCAGCTAATTTTTTGATTTATTTTAGAGACGAGGACTCGCCAAGTTGCCCAGGCTGGTCTTGAACCTCTGGGCTCAGGAAATCCTCTCACCTTGGCCTCCAAAAGTGCTGGGATTATAGGCGTGAGCCACTGCACCTGGCCTAGTATAATTTTTAGAAGTGCAGTTACCAGGTCAGAACCTGTGAACTTGGCAGAGGCTTTTGGTGGATCTTTCCTGATTGTGCTTTAGAAAAGCTGTAGTGACGTTTGCCACATCCTGGGGTGGACGAACATGATCGTTTTTCTGTGTCCTCTGCAAGATTGGGAGTTCTGACTCCAAAAATAGATGTATGTGTGTTTCCTTCAAAATGTGATCAGTAAAAACCGTGGCAGCTCACTGAGATTTTAGTTTGCATTTGTTGATGACAGATGGTGATGGACCATTTGGGTTTCATTCCTTGGAAATTGCCCAGAAGTGGAGTGGGCTGGGAGGAGGAGATGCGTCTTATCATTTATGTATTTGTTCATGCATTCATTCATTTAATGACTCACTGACCAGTTAGTCTTAAAATTATTGAGCACCTGCTACATGTGTGGCTCTTTGCATGGTGACAGGAGGTAGAGAGAGGAGCAAGGCTGATGCCGAACAGGAACATGACAGCAAGTAACAGTGCAGCAGTGACTCACCTGGGCTTCAGAGCCCGACTGCACGGGTTCAAATCCTGCCCCCGTCCCTTTGCTGCTGGGAGGACGTTGGACAGGTTTCTTAACTTCTTGGATCTTATTTTCTCTGTAAAGTGAGATAACTATAGCCTTGCCTCACAGGGAGGGTAGGGAATAAATGAGTTAATACCCACAGAACACTTACAGTGATGCCAGCACATTCTCAGTCTTCTTGTTGACACCGTTATTGATGGCTGGGTCACTGGAAGTGTTTGACATTTACCTCGTTTAAGTTTTATAACAACCCTATGTGCTGGGGAGTGCTGTCATCCCTCTTCATTGATGGGTGACGAATTGGAGGCTCAGAGAAGATAGCATCTTCCCCTAAAGTCACAGAGCTGGTCGATGGGGGAGTCTGAATTCAGACCCGAGAAGGGAGCTTCGAGGGTGCTTCCAGGTCCTTCGGTTCTAAGCCATGATGTGACCCTGGGGGGGGGACATACTTTGTAAAGACTGAAAAGAGCAATAAGTCAGTTTTCAAGTTGTTGTCAGTGGAAATAGAGCAGGGCAGCACGGTCTTTATGAACTACTCTAGACATAGACATTGCACTTGGCAAGCGGAGTGGAAGAGGGTGGAGCATGGAGCTGGCCCAAGAGGTGCTCAAATGGTTGGGCCGAGGCTGATCACACGGGGCTTTGAAGGAACCGATAGGGTGTTTAGATTTTTTTTTCTTTTTGAGTTGGAGTCTCACTCTGTCACCCAGGCTGGAGTGCAGTGGCACACTCACGACCACCCCACTGTCAACCTGCTGGACTCAGGTGATCCTTCCACTTCAGCCTTCTAAGTTGCTGGAACTATATGTGCATGCCACCAGCCCTGGCTAATTTTTTGATTTATCGTAGAGATGAGGTCTCGCCAAATTGCCCAGGCTAGTCTCGAAGCTGTGGGCTCAGCCTCCCAAAGTGCTGGGATTATAGGCATGAACCACCACTCCCGGCCTGATTTTTTTTTTTTTTTTGAGTTTGGCATCTCACTCTGTCGCCAGTGCTTGAGTGCGGTGGCATGATCATGGCTCACTACAGCCTCAACCTCCTGGGCTCAGGTGAGCCTTTTGCCTCAGACATGCACTACCATGCTTGGCTGATTGTTTTTCTTTTTTAATTTATTGTAAAGACGAGGTCTTGCCAAATTGCCCAGGCTGGTCTCGAACCCCTGGGCTCAGGCAATCCTCTTGCCTCTGTCTCCCAAAGTAATGGGATTACAGGCGTTAGCCACTGTGCCTGATTCAATTTTTTTTTTCTTTTTATTTAGTTGGACATCTCACTCTGTTACCCAGACTGGGGTGCAGTGATTTGATCACAGCCTCCACAACCTAAGCTCAGTGATCTTTCTGTCTCAGTCTCCTGAGTAGCTGGGATTATAGCCATGTGCTACTGCGCCCAGCTAATTTTTAAAATTTTTTTTAGAGACGAGGTCTTGCTGTATTGCCCAGCTGGTCTTGTACTCCTGGGCTCAAGCAATCCTCCTGCCTCAGCCTCCTAAAATACTGGGATTACAGGTGTGAGTCACTACACATGGCTAGGTTTTTAGATTTTGTTGTTAGTTTCTGAACTTGCCAGTACTGACATTTGAGGCTGGAGAATTCTTTGTTGAAGGGAGTGTCCTGTACATCTTCCAGCAGCCCAGTTGTGACAATCAAAAATGTCTCCAGACATTGCCAAATGTTCCCGGGAGTACGGGGAAGGGTTAAGCTGCCCTGGCAGAGAACTTCTGGTTTAATGAGAAGTCCCTAGGAACTTTTTAAAACTTATTTTTGTTTATTTTATTTTTATTTTTTGAGTCGGAGTCTCACTCTGTTGCCCAGGCTGGAGTGCAGTGGCACGCTCGCAGCCACTGCAGCCTTGACCTGCTGGGCTTAGGCAGTCCTTCTGCTTCAGCCTTCTAAGCTGGAACTGCAGGTATGCGCCACCATGCCCAGCTAATTTTTTTGATTTATTGTAGAGACGAGGTCTCGCCATGTTGCCCGGGCTGGTCTTGAACCCGTGGGCTCAGGCAGTTCTCTGTCTCCACCTCCCAAAGTGCTGGGATTATAGGCGTGAGACACCGCACCTGGCTTTCCAGGGAGCTTTTAAGCAGGAGAAGGACCAGATCAGATTCATCGTTGTAAAAGGTGGCACTGGCTGCTGTGGGGGAGTGGCCAGAGTGGAGCAAGGGTGGAAGCTGGGAGACCTGGAGAGTCAGCTGTTGTGTTGGTCTCAGAGAAGGGACGGTAGCTGGGTGAGGGCGAATATGCAGGGAATGGCTGCCTGGGTTGGATCCATCCCCAAGGTATCCTGCGCTGGAACTTTGTTTAATTGTATTCTTCAAAATCATCACACACTGACTGAGGGCTGCCAGCTGTCGGCCCCAGGGCGACACGTTCTAATGTATTTTTGCTTTACAGATGAACGAAATTGAAGTATGTCCGGAATGTTATCTAGCGGCTTGCCAAAAACGAGATAACTGGTTTTGTGAGCCTTGTGTAAGTTGGATTTACTTTGCTTATTTCATTTTATTGAGCTCTGTGCCTTCAGTGACTGCCCCGGCCCAGCTCTTTCCAGGTGGCTTCTTAGATGAAACTTGGGATGAAGCTGCAAGATAATTTTTTGCTGATGAAGTAATGGCAGAGAGAAGGTAATCCAGGTGGGATAAACCTTTCAAGCTGAAAGTCCATGTGCCAGAGATAGCATCATGGCTTGCTGGGCTGATTAGCCTGGTAAAATGGCAAGATGTAGGGCAAAGGCAGGCTCCTCAGAGGCGTGGGTGCAATAGAACCGTGTAGAATATAAGTCCCGTTGGCATCAGTGTGTTGTTCACAAATTGTGTCGGGTCAATTTTAAGAGGTTGGAAATACTTCCCTGGATTAACTCCATGGTCTCTGATTCTTGGGGGAAGGAAAGTCACCCTATACCCACTACACACACAGATATGCATTTTTCTTTCTTTCTTTTCTTGAGTTGGAGTCTCACTCTGTTGCCCAGGCTGGAGTGCCATGGCATGCTCACGGCCACCGCAGCCTTGACCTGCTCTGTACTCAGTCAGGATCAGCCTCAGCCTTCCAAGTAGCTGGCATGACAGGCATGCACCACCACGCCCAGCTAATTTTTTTTTTATTGTTAATTGTAGAGATGAGGGCTCACCAAGTTGCCCAGGCTGGTCTCGAACCCCTGGGTTCAGGCAATCCTCTTGCCTCTGCCTCCCAAAGTCCTGGGATTACAGGCGTGAGCTGCCGCGCCCTGCTAGACTTGCGGTTTTCGAACTGATGTTTTGCAAAGAGAAGACCAATGTTGGGGTGGGCTGGTGTGTGGGGGGAGGGGGGAGGGTTGGAGTAGGTTGGGCTGAGGGGGCAAGACTGGACAAGAAGAGTAGAGAAAATGTGCCTTACAGCTCTCTGGCCTTTGGAGATGAATGCCTGATGGCTAAGGCACTGTGTGGCCTTTGATCAAGAATAAAGATGTGGCTCACACTGCCTGTAGGATACGCCAGGCAGGAAGCACATTTAATTTCTTGCTTGTGGCCCCCCAGGTAACAGCAGCACAGCCAGGATTCAGACCTGGTTTTGTTATCATTCGGGTGTCAAGTTCACCGTTTAGCCCCATCCCCGGCCTCGTCCAGGGCCCTTACCCCTTACAGGGTGTAACTTCTGGGTAGCCCCTTTTTCCTTCTGTGGGCTATGTCCCTCGGCCACATGTGCCAAACCTTCAAGTATGTCTTGCTGTCAGCCATGTACAAACTTTGGATTTTGTTTCTCTTTTCCTAGAGCAATCCACATCCTTTGGTCTGGGCAAAACTGAAGGGCTTTCCGTTCTGGCCTGCAAAAGCACTGAGGGACAAGGACGGGCAGGTCGATGCCCGATTCTTTGGACAACATGACAGGTGGGAGTTAAAGACAGACCTTGAACGTGAAGCTTTGATGGAATCTTTTGATACTGTTGTTGGGGGAAGAAAAGCAGAGGGTATGGCTGCTATTTTGTTGTTGTCGTGATACCAACCATTGATCCTGTTGTTGAAATATATTTTCCCATGCTGTGTTATGCTTGGTATAATGCGTGGGTGTCTGTTTTCTCAGGTATGTTAGAGAATAATCTTGCTTTCCTGGTCCTGTTGATGAGACCTGCATTGGAATGGGTTCTGTGGCTATTTTAAGTGCTGCTGTTGTTTTCCTTTTGGATTTTACTGGAGTAAATTAAACCTCCGTGCAAATTGCTTTTCAAAATAATGCTTTCAGGGATCAGAAGTATTTCCCCAGATTGCCGGTAAATGAATCTCTTATCGTCATGCTGAGTGGTTCCTCCCGTTCCCTTTTCTCTAAAGCTACAATGGGAAATTATAAGGGTTGCTGTTTTGACAGGTGTGCGCCCTCCCTCCCAGCCTTCCTGCCCTCTCCTCTCCCTGGCACGCGGGTGAGTGAATTATCCCAGCTAATAGCGGCTCCCTGTAGAATGGAGTCCCCCATGTGCTTGAGGACAACAGGTAGGCAGACACGAGCAGTGGTTAATATCTTAGTTCTCCTTTAGCGAGTTATGTTATGATTAAATGAGGCAAAGTCTCTCGAAGCCCCACCAAGCAGCTTAAGCAAGTGTGTGAGTGCTCAGGGGAGACTATTTAAAGCACATGGGCTAAAAATGATAGGCATTCACCGAATATACAGAAGTTTATATTTTTAAGCCACGACAGAATCTGAAGGACTGTTCCCTTTGCTACATTTTGCTTGTTGTCTTGCAGACCACAGGAAAGCGCGATTCCAAAGCAATCTGCCAGATCATTTACTAGGAATCCCAACAGTTCGTTGTCAGGAGACAAAGTGGAAATTATTGAGATGGTGCTGGGTTTGGTAGGAAGTTTCACATGCTGATTTTAGCCACTTTTGTTGGAAATCTCTTTCTTTCTCTCTTTTTGAGTTGGAGTCTCACCCTGTTTCCCAGGTTGGAATGCAGTGGCATGTTCACAGCCACCCCACCGTTGACCTGCTGGGCTCTGGCAATCCTTCTGCCTCAGCCTTCCAAGCAGCTGGAACTATAGGCATGAGCTACCACACCTGGCTAATTTTTTTTTTTTTGAGTTGGAGTCTCACTCTGTCGCCCAGACT